GCCCCGCTCCAGCCCCGCTCACCCGCACGTGGCGCCCCGAGCCGCAGCCCCGCGCCCTCCCATTGGGCAGAGCCCTCTCCGGCCCCGCCCCTCACCCCCTCGCCATTGGTTGGGACAGCTGCCGGGGGCGGGCGATCTAGCCTCGTTCTCCGAGTTTCCTTTCCGGCCTCTCCTCCCTCCCCCATAGGATAGCGCTTCCTTTGGGCCACGCCTCCTCGTATCCTATTGGCGGCCTGCGCTGTCCGTCCAAACCGTCTCTGCCATCAGAGAGACTCCCTCGAGGGGGGCGGGTTTTTTCCGGCGCAGGCGCGCTGCGCTCTGTCGGGCTGCTGGTACGTGAGCGCCGCGAGGGTGCAGGAGCCTGCGGCGGCCTGCAGGGGGCGGCGCGGCCTTGCTGTGGCAGCAGGGAGCAGTAGGGCCTGGGTCCAGGCAGGGGCAGCAAGACCTGGGCCTGGGGTGCGTAGCTCTGGCTGGAGGCGCAGGCCCGGCTCTGAGCAGTGACTGGTGCCCAGGGTGGGAGTGATGCCCCTGGTCCCAGTTTGGTCTCGAAGCACCTGCTGCCCTGAGGGGCATCGTCTCACCTGGCACCTCAGCTAGCGATGCCGGGGAGGCGGGAGCGCGGCGGGCGGCGCTGGCTGCTGGTGATAGCTGGAGCTGACCTGGGGCTGGGGGAGCTGATGTGAGCCATGTGGCCTGGCCCCATCAGAGTGCAAGTCCTGGCTGTTATCTTGGACAGTGGTTGCTCTGGGCGGTGGAGGCTGCCTTGCCCGCGGCAGGGCCACAGATTAGCTCTGCACCCTCCTGTCCCCAGGTTGCTGCTCTGCTCCCTGCCCTCTCCAGAGGCAGTGCAGTAGTGCACTTGCACCCTTCCTTGATTCCTGCTCCAGCCAAATTGCAAACCAGCCGCCTCCATTTGAGCTGCCATGAGAGCATCAGCTGAATTCATGGCTCATTAAAATCTACCTGCTTCCTTCTAAACTCTTCCTTGGGCATTGGGAACAAAGCCCTCTCCTTTTTGAGGGTCTTTCCTGTTCCACCAATCCAGCTAGCTCCTCTTCTGCAGTGCTGCTTCCTGTCAGCTGCTCCTGACAATGGAGATCTGCAGACAATGTGTAACCCATTCCAGTGAAGTTATATTTGTTTTTTTCTTTAATGTTAAACTGAATAATATAGCCCTATGTCTCTAGTACATTAGTAAAGCTTCTTGCTTCTCTTTACCTGGAGAAAACTTAAGTACTGCTTTATATGGAAGAACTCCCCACGCTGTCTGCACCCCCGTTTTTAAAATCCTAGCTCCACTCATGTCTGCCCCCTCCCTGATCTCCCTTTTACTGCACACAAGGGCTGTCTGTGCTATTAATGACTCGTATGTTGCAGGTTGGCCACCCCTGCCATAAATGATCGTCCACTTCGGTGGACAAGACCTCCACCATATCCCTCACAGACTAAGGACAGTCATTAAATGTTAGTGGGCAGCCTGGTTTTGAGGCAAATGATCATCAGCCTGTTAACCAGTTGAACTCTGCTAAATGGAGCCATTTGCCTGTCGGCTTTTAACTAGCTAGAAGACTGTTCAGGCAAATGAAAATAGACTTTAGTGCAGGCCCAATAAGTCTTTTTAACTGAAAGATGTATAGGAAGGTACACTGGATATGCTTCTTTACCCAGCTTTTTTCAGTTCTCCGTTTTGTCCGAGGTCAGAACAGAGGGCCAACGGCTACATTTATTTCAAAAGCCAGTCTCCAACTGGAGTGTTTGAAGGTCTAATTTTTATATTCTCAGCTAAAGGACTATAAGTTTTAAGAAACTTACTTTGTTCCCAATGCCCCTGAGAGCAATTTCAAACCAGTTCCTCAGCAGTCATTGCAAGGTGTCAATTAGCCAAGATTTAGCACTGAGAAATGTAACAGAGGAGCCTCCTTATATTTGTTCTTGCCATTAATTGGATCTTCCTAGACTAGGTGGTGCTCAGTAGTCCATAAATTAACTTCTTCCCTTGCCAATGCACTTAAAACAGTTCATACGAACAAGGTTCAAAAAAAGCTGATAAGCACTCTGGTTCTTTTGGCCTGCCTTGGAGGTTTTTTGGGAACTTCTGTTAAGTTTTATCATACACATATGGTTAAAATATGGCACCACATAGATTTGCATAATTTGCTAAATGTTATTAGCATGCCTACAACTGAAATGGAACATATCTGCTTTATGTACTACTTTGTAGCGGTTATAGAGATGGAAAAAACGGGCCTGGGGGGGAACTGAGGCCTAGGCAAACTGTTTTGCCCAGGCCTGTATAAAGGGGCTGGGATGTGGAGCAGTGGAAAACAAAAGCTGAACAAAGGAGTCAGGGGTTAGAGGGGAGGCATGTAAATGGAGGGAAGCTTCCCACAGGAAGCAATATGCAAGAGAGGGGCAGAAGTGAGTGTATTTTATAGCAGGGTCCTGGTTTGGTAGGAATCAAGGTCAGAGTTGGCAAGTTGAGTGAGAAAGACTCCATGGTCCAGACCTACCTCAAAGTCTTTCTAATATTCAGGCCTTTTACTCTGTTCAGTTAAATGTCATTACTGGCTTAACTGGACATGCTGATTGCTTCCTTTGCTGACCAAGTTAGTTGTTACGTTTGCATAGGTTTGTTCTATGGTCATGCAGAAATAGGCCTCAGGGCCTTCTGCTTCAGCCACACTTCTCCAGCTTGGCCTTGGAGTCAAGGCTGGAAACAGGTTATGCATGTTCTTCCCATTAAAAGGTAAAGCCCCTCTCTCAGAAGAGGAACTGGATGCCATCTTGTTAAGCCAGGGCCACAGAGAACCAGAGTGAGAGGCTGAAAGGCGGGGGTCTTGGAGTGGGAAGTTGACTCCTCCTCAGTTGTTCTCAAAGCCACACCTGGTCTGGCTTCAGGGGTTGTTCTCAGAGACTAGGCAAGGCTGCACTGGTCCTGAGCAAGCATCCCCCTGCATAGGGTCTCTGTGACACTGCACCACAAGTCGGCCTACAGCAGTGCCAGGGCTCTGTTTGGATTGGAAGCTTAGAGCACGCAGGAAATTCAGCAGTGGCAATGGCATGCCCTGCCTACAAGAGGGGATGAGTGAGATTTTGCCACACAGCTGCCTGCAGATGTCTGGTTCCTTGTGCTGTAGGCACTAGAGGGCATTGTTCTCCCTTTGTTGAGCACGTGGACCTCAGCCCTGGCAGCTGCACCTGTTAAGTTACAAAATGGGATTCAGGACTATTCAGAATGCAACTGTTCACGGTTAAATGAACCTAAAAAAAAGCAAAGTCCAGTATATTTAGCTGTAAAAGTGTTAGTATCTCACCAGTACAGCCAAAGAGGCGGTCTCAGTCTTGTCAGCTTCTCAAGGCATTGATCTGTTCACCAGATCAGCTGGGCATGGTAGCAGTTCTTGTCAGAATGATTTCTCATTCTTGAAGTGTGGCCTGTTAGCTGTTTTGTTCCTCTTTTATACCCTTTAGCTCAGCATCTTCAAAGCATTCTTGTGGTTGTGTCAATCAAGAGAGACAGATTTTTGGAGCCAATACCAATAGCTGATTTTTAAGGAGGCCTGCTGGTCCATACTGATCTGATTTCCGAAATGCAGCCTGGCAGCTTGAAGAACAGTGTCCTGCTAGTAAGTCTGTTGTGGTGGAAGGGGAGGGGGAAGGGAAGGCGTATGGAGGGGCAGATCAAGGCCCCCGCAGTGAGGGCGGGAGTAGGGCTGGGGCAAGTGGGGCAGTGAGGGCGGGAGTAGGGAGGGCAACTGGGGCAGAGTGGGGCTCAGGACTAAGCTGCGGCTCATCCAGGAGGTGCGGGGGGGGGTGGGCAGCTCCCACCACTGTGCACATCCCAGGAGGGCATGGGGGGTGTACCTCCTGGATCTATGTGGGGCAAGGGCAAGGGCTGCTGCGGGCTGAGGCTGGGGCTGGGGCTGGCTGTGCTTGGGGCGGGTGGCAGCAGTGCTGGGAAGGGTCTACAGGGGGGGGGGAGGGGCTGCAGCCACACCAAAATTCGCCATAG